GGACAGATCTGGTCACGTCCAAACTCCCCAGCAGAGCATCGTCAACCGATGTCAGCTGCAGATTTGCTACACACCCAGTTGTAGCGCAACCCCTCTATGGGAGAAATTCACTGTTGTGAACAAGAACAAGAATATGGTAGAATACCAGGGGCAAGAGCCCACAACTTCTTGCTTATCCATCAACCACCCAGGGGAGGATAAAAAATGAGAGATTGAAGAATAGAGAGATGTGCGCTGAGAGAAAAAGTGTGGAAAAGGGCTTTTTAGAAAAACAGAGCCTGAGGGCCGAGTGATGTGAGAATCACAAATGAGAAAGGGTGGGAAACAATAGCTGGAGAAATTGGCTCCTCGTGCAGTGAAAGGTCTCTTTCCATTAGAACACGTCTGTGTGTCGTGTCAGTCATTTTGCATGGAGGTCGGCTGGTGCATGGTAAGCGAGTCCCGCAGTCTATGTCCGACCGGGAGACCACGCTTATATTGCGTGATTGCAAGGTTGACCGGGCAATCCAGGATCTCGTTGAAGGTTTCCCAATACCTTGAATTGTATGCCTTCAGTGTGTCGCACGGTTCCATCTTGACACTCAGCAAGTGATCGACTTCCTTTGGTGTTTTTGTGTTGGTTTTGAAGCGCGTAACGAACGCTTCGGCCAACTGATGCCACCGTTGTATGCTCCCTTCCGGCAACCTCTCAAACCACTTTAGCCCAGCTCACCTAAACTGGACGGGAAGATTAGGCACATAAGTCCGTCATTTCGCCTATGTCCGGCCATGACCTGTCGGAAATGGCTCACATGCATATAAGGATCGGTTTTTCCGTCATAGAGCGTGAACTTAGGCTGGTGGAAACCTGCCGGAAGCGGCGTTGTTTCTGTTTCCAAAGAAAAAGGGGTGGCACTCAGTCTGGCCAGGTCTGTATCTTCAAATATTGGCATTGTTTGGCGGGGTGGAGGCATTTCGACCTCCTCGCTGGCATGAACCCCGTAGGAGAGCCGCTGGAAAGCTGGTATTCTCTGAGCTTCGCACCGGCGAGCCCGCTCCCTTAACACTGCCCGTAGGTCCTCTGACTGAGCAGAATAAGAGTACCTCGACGTCGTCGCCGGACGTGAGGGTTTGTAGGTACTGTCTTGCGCGCTAGACTTTTCTGCATGCACGTCGGAATCACCAACCTGGTAACTCCTGGTGATGGAAATGGACTGAGTACGTCGCTGACTCTGATCGCCTGACCGGCGGGACGGGGTGCGCTCACTGTGGTCTCCCACTCCAGCTACACCTTTCCCTTTGACATGCCGCTTAAGATCCTCCATCTCCGCCGCCATCCGCCTGATGACAGCGTCTTGGTCCTTTAACTTGCTTTCCAGTCGTCTGGCGTGTGAGTCTCTCCGCCAGTGACTGTCTGGACTGCGTGAACGCCCATGACTCCTTCCGCGCTTATCCCGCGCGTCTCCTGACTGTCCTCCAGTGGGCGTCCCCAAGTCAGCCATTGGATGGACGGCAGGAGGTCCCTCTCTCCTTCGGGTATACTCCGGGGTGGCTCCGTCGATGGCGGACGACGGGAACTCGTCGTCGTTCGCCATGGACGGCGATCAGATGAACCTGGAAGACAAGGTTTTGTCTGTCAAGTTCCCACAGACGGCGTCAATTGTACGGGGAGCAAATATTCCGGCATGCCCGTATTCCTTTCTTCCGAGTTCCGTCGATATCCGATCACCTGCAAGCAAATAACGGTGAGCTACCCGGCGGTGTGTGGCCGGAAAAACCCTCCGACGATCAAGTTAGCACACACCTTAGGATGGATAGAGAGAAGGGAGAGAGTGTTTGAGTGTAAAGATTTTCTTACAGAGATGTTCGCGTGTTTTGTATGGGGGGCGCAGTCATGCTTTTATACCTTCTGAGCCCCATATCCACTCCCTGTCATCTCCTGACACGTGGCTCTGCTATCCCATCTGTCAGCATAAACCATGCCATTCATCACCTGCTCTCAACTGCCTGTCAGCACAGCCGGAGCTCGGCAGCCGAGCTGCCCTACCTCGGTCGTACCATGCTTCATACCTTAAGCGCCTAACCGGATAAAGAAATGAAGGACCGGGCTAGGCGGCATCTCGGCAAAGCCTAGCCCGGGCTCCTCCTTTGGTCGGCCTTCTCGCCGGTCAATCAACTACCTCGGCTGACCGCGCCTTTCCGAGCGCCGGTCTCTCGGTCTGTCTGGTTTCGACCATCCTCGGACCGAGCATCCTGGTCTGACCGGTCACTTCCTGGCCGAGCAGCTTCTGCACGGTCCGGGGCAGCACACACTCAGTCCAAACTCTGCCCGGCCCAAGTTCTGGTAGCCCATCTCCGGGTGAACAGTCGATCATCTCGGCCCATTGCTCTGCTGGGCCCTCAACTTGCTCGGTCTATACCTCGGCCCAACACCGGATCATAAATCACCCTCTCAGCCACAATAACAACTAATCAGTTTTCAATTCTGTCTCATATTTCTCATTCAACAAACAGCCCAAAAATTTAGATATAAAATTTCACATGCATACATATTTGTCCTCTATTTGTATATATATGTATTTGTGTCCAACTTCTTGGGATGACATAATAAAAGTTTGTTTGATTTCTACTAGTTTCCTTTCAAGATAAATGTTGTCATACTATGCTACTTATATTTGTATGCTTCAAACACAACTCATTATGAAGTGTTCTTTTTGATGGTTTATGAGAAAAAATAACATGAGATGATGATTGACGAGAATATGAGTTCATGAAGAGGATAACTTGCAAGGATGAAAATCTTGGTGCTTAAAATGTGCCCAAATTTTCAGGGCACTTCAATATATTTCTTGTTAGGGCATGTAAAATGCAGAAACAAGATACATCAGCAAAGAATGCTTCACCAAATATTTGATGTGTTCTTGCTCTAGACACTTACCAACCCATCCAGAATGCTTCTGCATAATAACAGCAAATGCAGTCACCTGCTCTAAAATAATGAAATCAATCATTGAAGTATGATTGCACACAAAAACCTGCACACATCATAGCAATGGAAGTTCAGACATATATATAATATATTTAAACACATGAAGGTTGATTTTTTATACAAACATTTGAAGAACTTTGAGGAAACACCAAAAAGAAAAAATAATTCACAGATACCTGCTTAGGCCTCATGCTAGGCCGTGGTTCATGGTACTTGACAACCCCAGTCCAAGATGCAACAAAAAAAGCTGCAAATTAACTCCACCAGACACCTCTGAAAAGAAAATAATGACAGTAATAAATGCTTGTCTGGTCTAATGAAAAGGGATACTCAAATTCTCACTTTAACAACAATAATAATAAGAGAGGACAAGATGCCACAATTCACAGTATTTGAATAGAGAAATACATCTCAAACTAAACTGGGATTAAAGAAGATGCCACTTAATGCAGTGATTGCAATCATTGCATTTAATTGATCAATAAACTCCGATTACACAACTTATTTTTTATTTTCATTATTATGTAAATCACATTAAATGGAAAAGAAAAGAAGCAGAGTAGAAGTAAAAGAGAATCAGTCAAATCCAAGTGAATTCATGGATTTGACCCTATTTTTTGCTCTCAAGTCGCTAGTTCGCAAATCAGAGCGAGAAAAGCTTCTCTTCATCATTCATTAGTTCTTTCAGCTTAACATAAGCAGGCATGAAAAGCAAAATGCAGTGATTAGATTTGTTAAATCTCTTTATATGTATATAATATACACATAGTAAGACCACCAAAATATAACACTTGACACTCATTTTCACTTCTTTATCTCATCTTACATCTATGAATTCCCATCACTTTTTTTTTTTGGATAAATAATCCTTATCTGTAATATACCATGTCATCTCTCACTTTTAAATAGTACCACCATTCCTAAAGTTGCAAAATTAACCTGTCCCCACCCCACCCCTGCCCCTGCTACCTCCCCATTTAACTCACCTTGATTTAATTTGTGAGGGCCGGGGCACTACAAACCCGTCTCCTCCCCGTTGTCATCCCTAAGATGATACATGGACAAGAAATGCAAAGAGTGGCTACGAACTTGAAAAAAATATATATATCCCACACCACAATTTAACGAGGTAATATGACATCCATAAAGTTCTATGAAATGATTTCATCTGAATAACCCAATATAATATCGCAGTAAAATGGGAAAAAGCTTTGTTAACATGCAGCCTGAAATTCTAAGTTGAAACCATACTTCATGCAGACTCTGTTAGAACCAATTTGAATAACATGATTATACAAATAGACAAAAAAGCAACTCATAAAATTTGCTAGACGATCATTAAAACATTTGTTAGTACTTGAAAACACTTAGAAGCTAATCATAATTATTCTTATATAGCAACCGAAAAATAAATTACAAGCACACGACACAAGTGCAAATGATGACAATTACACCATTTGAAATGCTAAACACAAAAACCAAATGGAAGGCCACAAATATAGTATAATCAAAGAGAAAAGGAAAAAATAACAATAAAAAATCGCAAGTAGGTCAGAAGAAAAGAAAAGAGAAGGAATTATTATATGGAATTATTATACCTATAAAAAATAATTAAAAAAGAGAATTGTGTCAAAGACAGCAACAACAACAACAAGAGAAAGAGAAATTAAACTAACATCAACAATGGCACCAGCTGCCTCCGTCAGAGTTGGTGAGATGTCAAGTAGATCACGCCTGAGCAAATTTGTTCAGAGAATTAATTTACAGAAAAATATAAGCCCACACACTCAGAGACATGTATATATATATATATATAGAGAGAGAGAGAGAGAGAGATTACAGGCGAAGCTTGCCATGAGGTTCTTGAATGGAACCAGAGGGGAGATAATCTTCGATGTTTGGTCGATCCAAGTCCAATTCAGAGCTTGATTTGTTTAGTTTACTCATCCTTAGCCTCCCTATATCTCTATGGCTCTCAACTGCAACCGAGAGAGAGAGAGAGAGAGAGAGAGAGAGAGAACAAAATGTTAGTGAGTGTTCCTCCATAAGGTAATCTTGAAGCACTGTGCTTTCTAACTAAAACAACAGCTGTACCCACAAAACATGAGTACACGATTTTGTATTTCAAAGAAAAAAAAGAAAAAATAAAGAAAGAACCAAGAAAGGAAACATTACTGTGAATGACACTTTAAACCCCTTCCCCGCAAACAAATTTATGATTAAGTACCATCAAAATTAAAATTAATCCTCAACCATGCCCCAGGACAATGCAACTTCCCTAATACTAGCTCTACAAAATAAAAAAAAAATTTCTAGAGAAGAACTCACAAACAAAATCCAAATATTCATACAAAGCTCAGAGCAAAATAAAGCAAACAGAACAACAACAGAAGTGCAAGATCTAGAAGAACTCTCTAATTCATCTCCAATAAACTTCAATTGCAATTTGCATGTGATCACATAAATACATATTTTCATTACCAAAACACAAAATGATAAATACCCATTGTTGGAATACAAACACAATACCCATATACTTCATTTTTTGTGAGAAACTGCAAACGAATCCAGCTGACCAAGATTGATTGTCACGAAAAAAATAAATAAATAAAAGAAATCCCCAAATTACAACCAACGAAAACATATGCAAATCCCCAACCTATATATGCGATTTTAAATCTAGTTCAGTGGGAGTGTAAGGATTAAAGCCTCCATATAATCTAATTTTAGGGTTTTGGGTTAAAGAAAATCTCAAAAAAAGCGAAATCTTTAGAAGAAGATAGATGGAACTAAATATAACTAGACATAGCAGGTTTTCCACTTACTAAAATTCCAAGCAAAATAGCAGCGACCCGCAATGCAACAAAATAGCAGGTTTTCCACTTACTGAAATTCCAAGCAAAATCCAATTCCACTAATCCTAGTTTGAGGAGGCAGCAGTGAAACTATAGAGAAATTGGAGCAACACTACACTACAACCAGTAGACTTAGATCCCCTACACAACCCGTAGGGATAGGTGGAGGCAAAACAAAATCAATATGTATAGCACCTGGTGCGGTTCAATAGAAACACGGTTCCTCAACTGCATACCCGCAGGGTATATTACAAAATAGCTAATAGAAAAAATAACAAATACGGATAAATGTTTCAAAGTTTTTATGTTTGATGATAAATGTTCTTTAATTATGTCTTTAGATTAGAAAAAAAAAAAGAAAAGGTGTACGTAAATGTTGAATTTCCTCTAATCACATTATTAAGCCAACAAAACATTACAAGCTGTGCATTAAATTCATGGACAACAATTTTGTCCATTGTGGCATTTTATCAAATACCTAGCATACATAATAGACAGAGATGACCCACCTCTAGCCCTACTCAAACCTAACAAAATGCAAAACAAATCAAAAGCTAAGTTTCAAAAAAAAAAAAAACTTTAAAAGCACTGTAATGTATTACCAATTCCATAGAGCTTTTCGTCAGTTTTACTCACTAATAGTATTTGGTGGTTGGGTGAGTATGGATTTAGACTTCGTTCATCACAAGCAAACAATATATATGGACTAAATGTAATGTTGTTTGATACTAGTATATATATTTTCATCTCTGTCTATTAGATTTCTCAGTATTGATATATTCTTATTCAAACACCTTTGCTTTAAATTTCAACCTACAAATCCATGAAAATCTGTGGGTTAAAATAATTTTGAAATTTCTTTTTGTTTGTTTGTATTTTAAACAAGGCCACAACATTACCTGATGAATATCATAGATGAAACAGAGACTAGAAGAAAGCAGAGAGGGGTAGAGAGAGAAACTGAGAGACCAGAAGAAAGAGACGGGCAGAGAAAGAGAAATAGAGAAAGCAGACTGACCTTCAAATCACAGTGGTGCTGTAGCTTGACGCCGTTGATACACCGGTGGAGAATGAACGAAGGCTCAATGATGAAGTGTTGCAACTAGGGCACACAATCGAGGCTTGAAGGAGTTGAAAAAAAAAAAAAAAAAATCTGAGCGCGAAATTAGATTTATTTTGGCGCCCGTTTATTTTCCTTGCCTTATTGTAGCGGTTGAGTCCAAACTATCACTACAAAAAAATATATAGCAGCGCTTTAGCGCAAAACTGTGACTAAAACTGGATTTTTTAATAGTGGCCAACAACCGTTACAATAGCCCATTTATAGCAGCGTTTTCGAGCCGCTGCAATAAAAAACGCTGGTAAAACTCAATTTTCTTGTAGTGCGGCCCCTGCCTCGGGATGCTGGAATGATGCATGCTCGAATCCGTCTCGCCCGGAAAGCCCGTACCATAACACTGCCACCTCTGTTTATACTGCCCTGTCTCTCTGAAAATTGCCAAAACTCCAGGACAGGTTCCTTGCATGCTGCAGAGCACCACCGGCTAGGGGAAATTCCCACCGGCAGTTCACAACTTCCATCGGCTGTTTATTGGGTCTCCGGCATTTCAAAAAGTGCCGGTCGGCACTAAATTCTGCCGGTCGGCAGAAGCTCCCTACAGAAGACAGTTTTGACAGCAACGGAGAATAGACAGCATATGGCATAGGATTTCAGGCACATGTATGCATGGACACACTCCCTATCATGTAATGGACTCAAGGGAACATGGCCCTCGACCCTCGGGCCACCAATCACGCATTTCGATGCATGATGGCCAAAGAGTCAAGTATGCATTTCAATGTCAAATGCAATGCACACAAAACATACAAGGGACCCAACCTCAATCATGGTTGGTCAAGGGGCGAGGCAATGCACAACAATGCACATGCGACCTAAGCATGCAAGCAAACATACAAACATGCAATACAACTACATGGCACACACAATGCTAACAACATAACATGCACAACGCATTGAAACATGGCATATACAATGCAAGATGGACTTACACCAATGTGAGTGGACCTCAGCCGCACCCACATCAGTGGCCATCAGATGAAAACAACACAACTCGAAATGCGTGCACGCGTGCACGCAAACCGAGGACCGACCCTCAGGCACCAAAATGCCACTCTAATGAGACATGGCAAAGACATGGAATATGATATGCAAACATGCAAAAATCAGTAGCAAAATGAGGGGCAAAACAACCCCGAAACGAGGCGAAATGACACTCGATGCATGGAATTTCTCCCGAAATGCAAAACTAGGTACATGAAATGGCTTACAGCTATACAAAGCATGCATAATTGGTACATGGAATGAAAAGACAGAAGTAAGGCAGCCCCAAAATAAGCATTTTTACAGTTCAAAGCATGGCCAAACAGTAAGCACAAGTGGGACTAAATTATCATACAAAAATGGCTCCGCAAGGGAGGCAATGAAGCAAGTGGTAGATGCAAAGCCCAAACGGAAAAAGACTCTTCTACAACACTGAAGAGGGACCAAAAATATGACTACTTACAGTTGATGGCCAAGCCTAAATCAGTACACAAGTATGCTCAAAATGTCATGCAAGATAGGGCCCAAAAGAGGTCAAAACACAAAGTATACAAAACATTCATCAAACAGCCAAAGACCCTTAATGAAACATGAATATGGGGTCAAAATAAGACTATTTTCAGTTCTGTAAAATGACCAAAAACAGAAGCATAATAGGCTAATAGATCATACAAAAATGGGGACCAAAGAGGGATATAATGACAAGTGGCACATGGAGGTCCCAAACAGTGATGAGCCCTTCTTCAATGCTGAAGAGGGGCTCAAAATAAGCCTATCTACAATTTACATCATGCTCCAAAACAGACCACACGTAGGCCAAAAATATTATGCGAAATTATGGCATAAAGAGGGCTAATGAAGGAAGTGCTAGCTACTGTCCTCAAACAGCAAGAGGTCCTCAATCAAACATGAAGAGGACCTCAAAATATGATGATTTACAGTTTGGGTCGGAGCCCAAAAATGCAAGCAACTATGGCTTAGATATGAAGCAAGAAAAGACTAGAAAAGGGAATAGGAGGACTCACCCTTGAAGACCAGCAAACCAGCACCTCTTGGACCAAGTTTAGGTGCTCCTAAGCTCTGAAGAACAGGCTCAAGTTGCTGCAATGGAGTAAGGATGCCTTGTGCTATGAGTTGATGAAGAAATGGGCCAAGAACAAGGGTGTTTGATGGTTGAATGGGAGAGATATAGTGAGAGATGAAGGGATATATGTATGTATATATCAGATATATCTATATGTCTCTGGTTTTTTGTTCCAAACATCCAACCAAAACAATGGAGGAGGAGAGGCCCCTTATATAGGCAAGACTAAGCTTCTAAGACAAGCTACAAAGGGTCAAAGGGGTCTAAGGGGAGGTCAAGGCTTATTGGAGAAGCTAGGACAGCTGGTAAGCTTCTTGGAGAAGCCAAGACAAGGGGTCAAGGCTTCCTCAAGAAGCCTTGAGCAAAGGGTGCAAGAAAAGGGGTCAAAGGGTGTGCAAAGGGTGCAAAACAGCCACACACGTGCATGGGGAGCAGGGTCTGTGCATTCCAGCTGCCACAGCTGGCATCCATTCAATCTGTAGAATACTCCGGAAGGTCATCGGCTAGCAAACTTGGTCGGTCAGCCATCTTTTCTAGCCGGTCGGCAATCTATTTGGCCGGTCGGCCATCTATTTGGTCGGTCGGCCATTTGTTTTGGCCGGTCGGCAGGAAAAATCTGCTCTGCAAGTCCAACTTCAAACGGGCGTAACTTCTTCATATGAACTCCTTTTCAGGTCATTCTTGTGTCAAAATAGAAGCCCCGGAAGTAAGCTTTCCAATGGAACCAGCCTTGCATCAAAATTCCAACTGTGAAAAAAGTTATGCTTGTTTTAGTAAAGGCTGCTCAGTTTCGGTCCAACCGGGATGATGCCCAACTTCAACCAATCATATCTCCCCCCTCCGGTCTCTGATTTAAGAAATTCTTGAGTGAAAAATGAAGCCCCGGAAGTATTCTTTCCAACGGAGGTGACCTCATAACTAAACTCCAAGTGTACAG